AATGGAATCGCGAACAAAGGTCTTTACGAATTGGGGATCTAGTCCTAGTCGTTAGTCCAAGTGAGCAGCGTGGCATATGGCGGCGCGGAGTGGTCGAAAGGGTTTTTCCTGGCAAAGACGGCAGGACTAGGGTGGTTCAAATAAAGACTCCATCCGGGACACTTGTACGTCCAGCAACACGCGTCGCCAGAATACCCATGGAAGATGAGTGTCGCTGAGGCGACACTGGGGTGGGGCGTGTTGGCGACGCATTGTTTTGTATGTAATATTTATTATAAATTTTATAAAATATGTGTAGGTAAGCTTGTATGTATTTGTAATATTATCCCTAAGGTAGATAAGAGTGAGCGATTCCCGCTAGCATTGTTGGCAGTCAGTCGTCGCCGCAGTCTCCGCTGGTGTGCACATACATACGTTTAAGTCGTCCCGCGCTTTGAAGAATCTAACGGTCAATTTGTATTTTCACCGTGTGGCGCAATAAACATTTTATGTAACCAGCACGAGTTCTTGATTTGCTATCGATCCACTTCAACGTGGATATGAATTTGTGTAGTCTATAAATACTCATGTTCTGGATAAATGCCCATATTATTAATAGTCTATAGTCTATCGAGATTTGACCACTAAATTACTAATCTAACTACCCATTCATTTAGATCAGAGCGAGAGAGAGCAAACGGACCATAACTGTTTCCATCCCATTTATCTTACAGACTGTTGTACTATCTATCTACGTTGCTCAAGATCTTGAATGAGGCTGACGTGTAAAAATTATGAAAACCTAATATTAATTACTGGAAGCAAATAGAATTGAACATTAGATAATTTTTTTTATCTTGCCAGTATCGAGCAGTAGCGGAAAGTATTTTATAACATATATTTTAGAGAATGTTCACATGAATTACAAGACTAGGTAGTAGTTTTAGTATGTTTCATATAGTGAGTGTAGAGAACCAGATACACTTTTTACTGGAGACGAGGAATTATTTTAGTCGCTAGGGGTGACATCTGCATTTTAATTCGTAATCGACGGTAGATGTAGATGTCTATGGGTCACAGTAACCACTAACCATCAGGCGGATTGTGTGTTCGTTTGTCCCCTTATCATATTAAAAGTGCCTTTTCTTAAATATAACACCTTTTCTATCCAGAAGTCCATATGGGGTAGATATCACTTGCTTTTGTTGCTAAATGGCAAATTTGATTCGGAGGCTAAAGAGAGTCAGTATAATTTCAGGTTGTGAAACACTTATTTACTTAAACTATAGGACAGAAAAAAAACAGTATTCTACACACTAGTGGCGATGATCATTCGCAAATACATTACGTATAGAAACATTACCGCGAGTGGAACTAGCGAACCAATATTGTCTAAAGCAAATAATAAACATCATTGTTGGTTCAACATACAGTTGATTATGTTTACATTTGAGTACTACTACTCTGATAAAATTGCCTCAATATTTACTATCCACAGTCATGTTGCAAGTGGTAGGAAGAAAATTGACAAGAGAAAATTTGTATAGTTGTAAACTAAACAGTTCTAGCGGTAGTTAAACAAGTAATAGTGTATTGCTAAAGATTGCGCAACGCCAAGTTTTCAACCATTTGCATTATTTGTTCTTGTTGAGGAAAGTTGCTATCTTGTTGTTTTTATCACTAGTTCACACAGTTCTAGAACTTTAGGAAAGCTCTGCGCTCGAACTTCAGCTAGCAAGAATTTGCCACCAGTAACATTTTTAATCATAACATCTATTTTTTGTTATTGGAGAACGGATAACGGAACGAAAACGAACTAATCTTACGGAATTTCGCTGAAAGCTTTGTCAAACACAGTAACCCGATCATGTGGTGTTCCTCTAATCAAGTCACATAGAAAGGCAAAAGCAAGTCGTGAAAAGGTGAAGCGTGGTGTGAGCAAGATAGTTATGGCACCTGGCTATTGAATGCGAGATACGACGTGATAACCAAACGAGCTCGTGGTGTTTACCGCTATCGTTACTGTGACTGACTATCAAAACGTTTTACGTTTACGTTTTACGTGGTAGAGCCATGCTGCAGCTATATTAATTGTATAGTTGTAGCACAAATGGGTCGGTTCGAGCAGCGAAGAACCACGCTCTCACAGAATACCAGCGTCAAATAGCAGCTTAAAGCTGCTGTGTTTCGTATGGTGAGTGTAGAGAACCGGAGACCCTTTTTACTGGAAAAGAGGAATTCCATCTTAGTCCTCAGGGCTGACAACGCATCTTCATTTTGATTCCCAAACGAGGATAGATGTAGATATCTATGGGCCACAACAACCACTTACCATCAGGTGGACTGTGTGCTCGCTTGTCACCTATTTTCTGTAAAAAAAAGTCCACTGCTGAACAAAGGCATCCTCCATAAACTGCTTCATAGGGGTAATTTTCAGATAGTTGTCACGTTTCGCAGGCGAGTTGGTTACCTCAAATTTTTGTTTTGAGTTATTTTCGGGAAGATGCTTCTACCCATATCCTATTCTAGTTTCCCTTTGTCATCTCTTACGATACCCATGAGATGATATGCCGCCTCTACACGGTTTAGTGTAGTACTATACTACACGTTTTGGTGGTATTTGCTTACAAGCTATTTGAGCCGTAAACGTTGACATCGAAATGGTACACGATACCGAGAAGATAGGATTCCTTTACTACCTAACAGTCCTTCTTAGCAGGTACCACTATCGCACCAATTTCTGTCGTAAAGCAGTATTGCGTGCACTATAATTGTGTTCCGGTCTGAAGGGTTTGAGAGCTAGTATATGTAAATTAGTGATACCTGTTTGAGTAATATATTGCAGACGGAGATTATATGATCTTTACCGTGAAAGATCATATAATCTTTCTGATATAGAGAATATGTCAAATATATTCAAAAATATTTAAAAGAGTGTTATAGCTAAATATTTACATATTAGCAATAAAATTAAGACCGTTAAAAATAAAATTAAAATGAGATGGAACATAATTAGCACATTATGGAAGAACAAATGGGATAGAAAAATTATAACCACCAATATGGCTATCTACAACTTTCTGGAGAAATCTATCGCGACGTGGATAGTAGAAAACCTGCTGTGGCAATTTGACTATGACATAACTAAGTATGTCGATTATGTAGATCATAATATACTACTGAACAAATTATATCTATGGATTCAGGGGAAACGTGCATGAACTAATGAAATCTTATCTATATATATGAAGAGAGGAAACAAATAACACATATTTCCGAATAGACATAAAGTCGAACACCGACAAAATATACACTTCCGGTACCCAATTGATTAAATAAGGAGTTCCTCAAGGTGGGGTTTTTGCTTCAGTCCTATTTATTATCTATATAAATTACTTTCCAAAGTGTACAAATCACCAAATGTCGTTATTTTTCGATGAAATCACTGTAAGGTATTATTGTAATAATTATGATGACGTTAAAATTGAAATTAATAATAGTCTTATATCAATTATTGACTGGTTGAAAGAAAACAAGCTACAAATTAATCTGGAAAAAATCAAAATAATGACTATTCAAATAAATAAGAATATCTCAATAAATTTAAGTAAGAAATATATGGTCTAAATTTTTTGGGACTACATATAGACAATGATATGCAGTGAAGAGTCAAATTGATTTTATTTGTAAAGAAATGCACCAATTTGCATACGTCTTCTGTATGTTGGGAACAATGCTATGTCGCCTTAATCCTGAGATTGGGTGTTATATTTTTGCGCAATGTACCCAATATTAGCGATGTGTTCAATACTCAAAAAAATGTCCACATGCGATTTGTAATTTAAAAAGGACCAAACACGTGTAAGCCACATTTTTAAAAATTAAAAATTCTTACAAATCCCTCACTATATGTTCATGAAACAAGCATTTTTGTAAAAAGTAGTATTAACCTGTATAACTTTGTGGAAATTCAACGTCGCTCTGATAAACTTCATTTAGTGCCAAGTAAAACTGTGTTTTTTCAGAAAAGTGCTTATGAGAATGTGACAAAATCAATATTTATAAACATAAAATATTTAACCTGCTAAATATAAAGCATATTATTCTATAGATGAATTTCTTAATAATAAATTTTGACATTAGGACATATCCATTAATTGTTTACAGAAATTTCTAAAACTTAAATAGTTTATGTTTATAAATATTGATTTTGTCACATTCTCATAAGTACTTTTCTGAAAGAACACAGTTCTACTTGGCATTAAATGAAATTTATCAGAGCGAAGTTGACTTTAAACTAATTACATATAAACTATTTAACCTGCTAAATAATAAATTATATTTATTCTATAGATGAATTCATTAATGATAAATTTTGACTTTAGGGCATATCCATTAATTGTTTACATTTTTTAAAATATTACATTATATTTATAAAATTGCATTGAGTATAAACCTATCATGACACGTACTAATTAACACTAGATGACAATAAGCAGGGCCTTTGTAGTTAGAACATTTTTCTGTTCTATAGAAACTGGCATTGCATATTTAGCTCCACAACTCCCCAAAGGATGGCGTTTGAGTAAGTTTACGTCCGGAAGTGCTTTTAATTAATTAAATCAGGTATATATAATGTACTCTGTGACAATTAACAAAATTGTTGACAATATTATTGTCAACAATTTCGCTTACTCTCATTTAGTCATAATCAATTAATCTTTGACTAGAGAAAAAAGAAAGGACATGATATAAAGATCGTTAGTTTTAGGAATGTAACTAAATATCGACGTCTCTTTTTAGCTCATGAGTATATTTATATGTAAAAAGGACAACATTACTTTTATCATTACCGAATATGACAACAATTTTTTCGCTGTGGCCGGTGGCCACGTTTTGTCACAGTCAATGACAAGTATTTAAGTTGTCATAGCGACTTGTTTGTTTTCAAATGTTTAAGAAAATTTAACGTTTTATGCGAAAATTGTACATTTCAAAACTAGTAGAGGACTACATTTATCATGGGCAGGTGCAGTGTAATAAGCTGCCGGATAAAAAACAAGAACGCACATCAAAATATTACTTTGCATAGGTAAGTAACCTAGTTCTATTCCATAATGATCTAATGTTAATATACTCGATAAAATCTGTAAAAATTAATATTATTTAAATGTGTAGTGTTCGTATAAATATAGGAAATCATTATGACCTAATGGTTTTCTATCATTATTTAGTGATCGAAAAACAGTACGGTTCGGCATTTTCAATATATCGATAGATGAATAGTACCTATTTAAAGAAGATTTCTTTTTTGTCGTTTTAGATTACCAAAGTGTGAGAAACAAAAAGAAAAGTGGCTGAATATAGTTGGTCTAGAAAATCTCAACACCAAAACTAAACACATTTTTATTTGTTCGTTACATTTTGAAGAAAAATGTTTTAATCGAACTTTAAATGTTACAAGGCTGCGCGATGATGCTTTGCCTTCAAGCGAGTTGTTGGTAAGTTGTAAAATGCTTATGCAGTATGGCTGCAGGTTAAAAACAAGCAAAAAATATTACAAACATATATTTGTATTTTTATAGTTACCAGCTCAATTTGAAGCTTTTAAGGAACAAGAATCTGTTTCTCGAAAGGTGTGGGTAGAGAAACCTATCTACAGCATTTCTAACTATGCAGAGGTAAATTATACTCATTTCCTAATAGGGTGCGGTGCTGTAGGTTACTAAAAAATCTTGACAACATTTTAATAGAAACTTACACAATATCTATTAATATTTTTATTTGTCCTTTACAGTTATCAGCCCAATTTAACAAGTGTGAAGAACAAAAATCCGTTTCTCACATAATACGAGAAGAGACGCCTGTCTGCAGCATTTCTAGCTATGTAAATGTTAGTATGATATTTCATAATTTATGTTACTTTCTAGGTATAGAATCTGGACTTTTAAATACAAATTCACTTAATATTAAAATATGTTATTGTTTATTTTTCTTTAACAGTTACCAGCCCCGTGTTACAGGAGTGAGAAGCAACAAACTGTTCCTCGCAAAATATTTGGAGTGAAACCTGTTTGCAGCACTTCTAACTTTATTGAGGTAAGTGTGTTATTTTCACTTGATTTTATAATACATAATCTTAAAGAATTTTAACCAACCACAATAAATATAGGCAGATGAACTGCTTCTTGTAAAATATTCATTATGAGTTGGATCGATAGCCTATTTTTCTTTTTATTGAAACTTACAAAATTAACAGAAAAATATTTAGAACACTTTGATTTTGTAAATGTATTTTTTTGTTTCAGGATCAACAGTTTAAAATAATCCAAAAACTTAAGACGAAATGTGAACATCAAAGGAAAAAAATTAAAAGACTAAATGAAAAAGTGAGGAGACAAAGTAAGAAAATAGCTGATTTTAAAATTTTAATGAAGGATATAAAGGGCAAAAATTATGTTAACGATGATCATGCGACTGTGTTGGAGCAGTGCTCAGGCCCCAAAGATTTTCTTAAGAGACAAATTTCTAAATCGGTAGGATTGCCTATGAAAAGGCAATACAGCGAAGATGTTCGAAAATTCGCATTGACGCTTCACTTTCTGTCTCCAAAGGCCTACGATTTTGTTCGTCGTACCTACAATACGTGTTTGCCACATCCGAGAACTTTAAGTAGGTGGTACCAGAATGTAAACGCTGAGCCTGGTTTTTGTACAGAAGCTTTTAATGCTTTGAAACTTAAAGCTCAAACAAGTGATATGCCAGTGCTATGTTCTTTAGTGTTAGATGAAATGGCTATCAGAAAGTGTCTTTGCTGGAATCCTCAAACTAAGACTTATTATGGAAGAGTTAACGTGGGCACCGACTGTGATATGGACTCACTAGAAGTAGCCAATGAGTGTCTTGTCTTACTCCTGACCTGTATAAATGGTAGTTGGAAGTTGCCTGTGGGATACTTTTTCATAACAGCTTTGTCTAGGGAACAAAAAGCAGTATTAGTAAAAATATGCATCTTCAAATGTGAAGAAGTAGGTGTCAAAGTTATGAGCTTCACCTGTAATGGTTCAGCTGCAAATTTTAGCATGTTTTCAACATTAGGATGTGATTTAAATTCAAGAAAGACGACTTTTACTTATAGTAACAGCATCGTATACGCTTTTATTGAGCCCTGCCATGCTATTAAACTAGTCCGAAATGCTTTGAGAACTAAGAGTGTTTTGTGACATTTATGGCAGGAAAATTAATTAGATCTATCTGGAACATCTGCTAAATTTGCAGGAAGTAGCGGGACTGCATATGGCCACGAAATTGACAAAAGCTCATGTACTTTATCAAAAAAAAATAATGAAGGTACGACTTGCCACGCAGCTTCTTAGTGATTCGGTGGCAGATGCCTTGGAGCATTGTAATAATTTAAAATACCGATATTTCAAGGATGTGAAGACACACTTAACTTTATTAGGTTAATAAACAATGTTTTTGATGTGTTGAACAGCCGATCAATTAGACTACCGGGGTGTAAAAAGGATATTTTCTCTGGGAACATTGGTTTGGTGGAAGCTTTATTCGAAGGCGCTGTAAGCTACCTTCAAAAACTGACGTTGCCATCTGGGCAGAAACTCGTAGATACCAGAAGAAAAACCGGCTTTATAGGGCTTATTCTGGACATGATCCGTGCAATTCAACTCTATAAATATTTGATTGAGGGCACCAAATTTTTACAGTACTTGCCATTATACAAGGTCAGCCAGGACTACCTCGAGTTGTTTTTTTCAGCTATTCGAGCACGAGGTGGCTTCAATAATAACCCAAACGCGGTTCAATTTAGGGCTGCTTTTAAAAGATTGTTGATAAGAGCTGAAATTAGGGATGCGGGCCTTGGTAACTGCGTACCCCTGGAGCAAATTAATATACTAACCTGCTCTTGTAAGGCTAACACAGTCACGGCCATAAACGACTTGACAGAAAGAAATTCATTTTTTGAATTGCCTGAGGATGATAGTGAGTTGTACGAAAAATTTATTCATTGCATGTATAACAACCTACCCAACTATTCCGACAGCGAGTTACTTATATTCCTGGTTTTATATTAAGAAAGTTGATACGGTCTATAAAATGCGATATTTGCTCAAATTTGTTGTTTGGCGATCCCAAAGACTATCAAAAAGTTTAATAACTTTAAAGAAGAGGGGTAGGCTGATTTACCCATCAACCGACGTGAAGTGCACTCTAATTAAAGTGGAAAAATCTTAAAGGGTATTTTTCAGAAATAACTGCGGTCTGTGCAATATTACCTCCATGTGTTCAGATTTTTAATGGAACATTTTAACGAAGCGAATTTGTTTAAATCAATTACTGCGAACATGACACGATACATAGACTTTTACTTACTAAATCCATAGTCCGAACCTATGTGGATCTGAGATTAAAATCCTTAGGAAAGAAAATAATAGAAAAAAATCCATTATTTCGTAATGAGCAAGTGCGGGTAATTTCTGTTTGTAATAAATCTTTTTTAAATGGAAATATGAGTTTTATTATGAAGTAGCGTCCGCCCGAGGTATCTCCATTTTCTATCTCTCGGGATCTCTAATCCTATATGTTAATTCAGGTAATAAACTATTTGTGTGCCACTTTATTACATTTAATCTGGTCTGATACTTTTGGCGTGATTGAGGAACAAACAAACATTTAAACTTTTGCATTTATTATAGTTTGATTAGTGTGAATAACTGACTGAGCCTAATTTATTACCTAACATACAAATTTTTTTTAATTAGTATTTCTTGTTTAGTGGGAAATAATTGTAACATTAATAATGGATAGTTATATTATAAAAGCAAAAAAATGACTACTTAAAAGTAATGAACTGAAAACGTAGGTATAATAACTTAAATATATTTCAGTAATGTCCTTTTAATTTCCTTTATTTTGATATCCCTATCGATAGGTTGAGTAAAAAAAAATTAAGGACTTACAATTTTTCATCCGTCATATCGATTAAAAAAAACCTATCTAAGAACACTAGGGTGTTTAAGACGAATCACAGTAAGAATGAATCTTTTTTCAAATAAGCACCACATTATCGATATTAAGTATAGTGCGCGACACTACATCAAGCCGCCATCTTTGTGCCAGACTCAATGTAGCATAGAGTAGAGTAATATGTACAGAAATAGAGAGCCATCTCCTAGGATTTTTTATCACCCAATATAAATAGTGTCGCCGTCTGGTATCATATCCTATATGTAGTTATGTATATACAGCTATCTATACTATAGGCGGTTATATTTATATTTTAAGGATTAGGGTTCAATTAAAGACGTATTATAGATTTCAGTAATATTAACATTTATTTTTGTTATATATATTTAACATACACGATGTAAAAGCGTCCATTCCGCAAAATACAACACCGAACCAAACTAAATATGTCCACCGGGTTACCGGAATGATAAATGAAAGCGTCTATTTCGCACAACACTACACAAACATACAATGTGGTTCCAGCATGAAAATCTAACAGACAACAATAAACAGAGGGTTAATCCAACTCAACCAAACTTATTGTAGCAACAACCGAAAATCACTTTTAAACTATAATAAGACAACGACATGCTCATACGCCGGTAGCCATTATGTCATATTGTCAATGTCATAATATAAAGTTGCTACTTGCCAGTTCGAGAATAAGTCGCCATCTAGCGCACCTTTTAGAATTTAATGTTCGAAAGTTTATGCGGATATAGTACAAGATGGCACTAGTGTCTTTGGAAATTATTGAACCCCAACCTAAAGTATGGAAGTGTACCCCCCCTGCAATGTAGGTATACACGTTTTTTTGGTAGGTATGTCATGTCCTTTCTTTTTTCTCTATTCAAAGCAAGTAATGGATATGACCTAATGTCAAAATTTATCATTAGACTATACCTATATCTTAAAGTTTTCCTGTTAATACATTTTAATATTCTTTTAACTAGAACCTATTTCAATGTTATTAATGAATGTTGCACTTATTTACTAATTTTATATTTTTTATGCCTATAGGCGGGAAATAGAAAACCTACCCTGTATTTAATTATGTATATATAATTTAATTAGTACTTATGTAAATTTATCTATGTTTACAAAATACAAAGATTTGATTTGTGTGTAATTACAGGATGAGAGGCATTTCACCTTAGTACTCAGATGTGACAATTAGCCTTCTCTGTTTAAATTTAGTAGCAGGTTGCAAGTTACAGGTTACCATCAGGTTAACTGCAAGTTCGTTTGTTACTTCAATGTTATAAAAAAGTAAGGACAATAAAATGCAGTCACTTCTATATTTATATACATTCGACCTATGTCTTATCTCCTCTTGTCTAGTTTGATATTTCCACTTCGCTTACACCTCAATTCGATTCTGTTCGCTGTATTAGCACCAGGGCCTTAAAAGCGAGAACGTATTTACAGATCCCTGATCTACACTAAGACTTGTATGCAGAAACAATCTTGAGTATAAAATTCAATTCCACGATGCCCAAATTCGAGTTTAGGCCATACTTTTTACACGTGGCTGTGCTGTGCTGGAACTCAGTGACAAAAATGTGCGTTGAATGAACAACGTGACGTAGGACCAAGTCCTGTGGCAGTTTTTGGGGAACACCTATGTTCAGTAGAGGATTTGTGATGTGATTTTTTTATTGTGAAAACTTTTTTGACAGCAGCTATAAAAGCTATGTAAAATATCCCCTCTGTGAGGCAATCTATGACGAGTCCTATGTTAAGCAGTGCTTTCAATTTGCTGTAACGAATGTATAAATGAAAATGCATTGAACCAGTAAGTTATTAAATAATGCTCTCTGTTTACATTAATGTTGACATTTTGCCTCATAAATTCAAAAGAGTAACAACTTAACTTATGTTAAGTGATTTATTTCGGCAGCGCCAAATGTGTTTGAATCTAGTTTATTTGCCTGTGATTTATTTAATACACTGCTTGCGAAACAAACAGAAGAAGGAAAATTATGGCATCATAAATTACTTAATATGTGTATTATGATTTATCATATTTACACGAATATTACAAGTTTTGCGTTACATTTTTTATAGCATTGGGTGACAAACAAGCACACAGTCCACATGATGGTAAGTGAATGCTGTGGCCAATAGACATCCACATTTATCTGCAACTAAGGATCAAAATAAAAAAGGCTTGCCACCCTT